TCCGATGGGGATCCATGGGACCTTGGGGTAGTGCCACTGGATGGTTTTTTGTGCTGTTCACTCATGTTCTATCCCCAACCCCCACCGCGTTCCCTTCATTCGAGCAGGCGGCAGGCTTTGTGCTTCCAAGTCTCAGGTGAGGCGTGAACAGAGGGCATTCAGGGTGACAGCAGGTAAAAGGTTTCCTGGCTTTTGTTTTTTAAAGCCCCAGACCGGAGAGAGGACAGAGCTGGGGTGGGATGGGGAGGAGAAGGACCCTTGAAGAAACAGGAAGGTGAGAAGAGCTTCCTTCCACATACAGACTTATCCAGGCTCGGAGTGTGCAGAGCAAGGTCGGTCGGCTCTTGGATTCAAACCCTTGCCTCTTCCACCTGGAAGCCATATCGTCTTGGACTATTAAACTTTTCTAAGTCTTACGAATGCCTACCTCATTGATGTGCCTTAACATTATGGCTTTAGTCCCAAGGTTCTGAGATATTGATCCTTGCTATGGGCTGATTTATGTCGTTCATCATCCTCTCCTCCCCCCTCCCCCCATTCATATGTTGAAGTGCTAGACCCCCTGTACCTCAGAATGCGGTTGCATTTGGAGCCAGGGTCTTTAAGGAGGGAAGGGGTGTAAAATGAGGGCTTTAGGATGGGCCCTAATCCAATAAGCTTACTGTCCTCAGAGGAGGACATCTGGACGCAGACACACACAGGAAAGGTTATGAGGTCACCCACTGAAGACATTCATCTATCAGCCACGGAAAGAGGCCTCAGAAGAATCAATTCTGCCGACCCCTTGATCTGGGACTTGGAGCCTCAAATGTGAAAAAACCAATTACTGTGGTTGAAGCCACCAGTCCACAGATGCTCTAGCAAACTAACACAATGCTAAACAAACTTTGGAGGGCCTCAAGGTTGACCAGCAGAAAGCTGCCTGTCCTAATTTAAAATATTTTTAGGCTTAAAGAAGAAGGAAATCCTGCCATTTGCAACAACGGGATGAACCTGTGAGGGCATTATACTGAGTGAAATAAGCCAGACACAGAAAGACAAATACCGCATGACCCCACTTACATGTGGAATCTAAACACATTGACTCATAGAAGCAGAGAATAGGTGGGTGCCAGGGGTCGGGGGAGGGGAAAAAGGGAAGTGCTGTCAAAGGTACAAAGTTTCCATCATGTGGGACAAATAGGTTCTGGAGACCTAACACACAGCAGGTGACAATGGTTAACAGCACCGGATAGCAAACCTGAGATCTGCTGAGAGAGTAGAACTTACACATTCTCACCACAAAAAAGGAAACTATGTGAGGTGATGGATATAATAATTGGTTTGTGTGTGGTAGTCCCATTTCACAATGTATATGTATACCAAAACATCGCACTGTAACATTAAATATATACAATTTTTATTGATCAATGATACCTCAGCAAAGCTGAGGGAAAACAATGAAACCACAAAGCATATCCTTTCTGGCCCCATTGTCTATTTTGTTCCTCTCATGCCCTCTGTCTACTTTGCAACTCAAGGCCAGTAGGTGCCAGACCTCAAATCTTGCCCCGCATTTTACCAGCTCTGTGGAGAGAGAACGAACACTTGTTGGGTACCAGTTCGGTACTAGGTAATGGTTATGGAAGTGAATTCCAGGGTCAGACCAGGTAGAAATCTGAAGTCTTCCTTTCATTTCTAGTTATGCCTGTTATGGTATAACAAACTCATAACTTTTATTAAATTTCATGTTTACTCTTAGTTTAGGTCGATCACCTCTTTGTGTAATATGCTTCTTCACACTATGGGACACAAAATTCCTATACTGTCATAAGCTTGTGTCTTTTTTCTTCAAGGTAGGCCCTGAGTCCTTAAACACTGGAATCTGATTAACAACAACAACAAAAAGACCCACCAAATTTATTTTGTCTTTTTATTCAGATTTCTAAACTTTTGATATCAAAGTAAATAACTGCATAATCAATACATCTGCTAATAGCTACTGTTTGTCAGATGTTATCCAAGTGACTGGCATGATGTTTTACCCTCATGATTTTATTTGACCCTCCAAATGTCCCTATGAAGTGGGTACTATTATCATCCTTATTTATTAGTTAAGGAAAGTAAGGTTTAGACTCAGGTCACGAGATCCCAAAGTCACACAGCTACTAAAAGGCAGAGGTGGGAATTGAGCCCAGATCGGGAGGGTCAAGTTATCACACCTTCCCGAACCACTCACCTCTTTGATTGGCAGATGTGTCCTTGTGCCTCAGTGACAGCAAATGACTCGGCAGTGCCTGGGTGGCCGGAGAGAACAAAGTAGGCTGCCTTGCTGCCAGCTAAAGGTCAGAGTAGAGAGGACCTGTTTGCCCCAAGGGCTCTTGATGAACTGTGGGCCCTGCTAGGCCTGACCACGGGGCAATGACCTGAGAGGTCAGGGTAATGCAGGGTCTGGCCGGGGGTAGATCGGGAACCCAGCACTTTTTGGGGATGCGAGCCACTGCCTGGTACACCTCCCTTCTGGAAAGAGGCAGATCCCTCTGCTGCCTGTGTGGCCTCCAAATACCAGTAAAGCGTGAGGTCATCAGAACTGAGTGGCTCAGGAAATGCCTTTGGTGCCTGTGGCTTCAGATATCTGAGGTCCAAATTATAACTTGCATCTGCCCAGTGATTTACTGCTCGGGGTTTATACCACCATGACCTCACTGACTCCTTTTGTTGTCCTGGTGGACTGTGATGGTCAACTCCATTTGACAGATGGGGAAACAGACCGGAAGAGGCAAGGTGAGCGCTCAAGGTCACAAAGAGTGCCAACTTGGACCCAGGCCCCACTGATTCCCAGTCCTATTCACTTGCGCGAGCCCAGGAGTTTTCAAGCCGCTCTGTGTGGAGTTCTAGGTGCCTGGGCAGGCCAGAGGCAGGGACTGAGGAGGAGGTGGAGAAAGGAGAGAAAGAAGTGGCCCACTTCTCGCAGGGCCACATCTGTATCAGGATTCTGTGTCAGGCTGGTTTGAAAGATTTGTGCCGCTAACAAAGTATTTTCAGAGGACTACCCAAGCTTCTTCCTCCCTGGGAATTGGATCCTGGCTCCTCTTTCTCTACAGGGGCAAGAAGAGACCTGCTTCCCGTTAGATGATGCACTCAACTCCAAGATGGCAACACACGGGACTGTAAAAGGTACTGGGTCCAGTTTAGTGTGATGGGGTCATGTTATTCATCTCAGTCTCCCCCTCTGCAAAGATAAGGGCTTGGCCTACTACTTCTGAAAATCCAGTTTGGCTTAAGTAACTGGGCTGTCAGTCTTAGCTAATCAGATCTTAAACAGGGCGAGTCACCTGAAATCACATGAAAATGTTGTAGATTTTTTTGTATGTGCATTTTTCTGTAAGTATATCTACAGTTTTCATCAGAGTCTAAAAGCAGACTGCGATACAGAACCTCTAGTTTCCCAGGACTTTTTTCTTTTTTCTTCTCCTTCCCCTTCCCCTTCCCCTTCCCCTTTCCCTTTCCCTTTCCCTTCCCCTTCCTCTTCCCCTTCTCCTTCTCCTTCTTCTTCTTCTTCTTGCAGAACTGCTGGGAAATCTTTTTTGGGGGAAGGGGGTGCTCAAGTAGTAAGAATAATATGAGAAAACTATTTGCGTAAAGGAAACAAGGGCAACATATAAAGGTAAGCAGAGCTAAAAAAACGGGGGAATGGATATTCCTCTCATGCTTCTTCTTTTTTTTTTTAATTGCAGGTAAGAAAAATGCTCCCTATTCTTTATTCTTCTAGCAAACTGGAGGCTTTTAGAAGTAGGAAAGACCCTGGAATCAATTCCATCATTACACAGGTGGAAACCGAGACCTGGAGCGGGGATGTGACTCTGGAGGTCATACAGGAATAGGACTAATGCCAGAACTGAGGTTACCTTCTCTGTGTGACTTTCCTCAGTCTTCTTTCCCAGCAGCCGCCAGGTAGAAGAGATCAGGAGGGACCTTGTGCCCAGGTGTGTGGCTTGGCCACATGGATCCATAATTACCCAAAAAACTCTGCAGTCTGGATTTTTTTCAGAGTCTGTGGGCACAGGCAGACAATGGAGTGCTTGGCCTAGGGCTGCCGGGAAGAAATGAAGGAAACCAGCCCATTTCTCTGCCAGGGTTCCACACCTCCCAGGTGCCAGACCCACCTGGGGTCCTGCCCAGGAGTGGGCTCCTAGCGGTCAGGGCCAGGCCAGACATTGCCAGCAGGAGGAGTTAAGACATTGCTGAGCCAAAAGCAGACAGGCAGGATTTATGGGACAAGTCCCAGGGGTCACTTGCAGCCACAGGGTCAGATCTGTTTAGCTCTGGGGGGTGGGGGTGGGGGTAGGGCAGTAATGGCAAAGGCAGAAGTGGATTCCAGGGGCCCCCACCACTATTCCCCACAGCATGGCCCGAGGGGCTGGGTCACACCAGCCCCTGCCTGCCACCCCCTCCCCCCACCTCATCACACATTACTCACAGCCGCACAGGAGAAATGATCTTTAATGTCCGACTTTGTTTCCAACTCCGCCAAAGTGCCAAAGTGCCAGCGTTCAGTGTAGTTCGAAGAGGGGCTTGAGAGGTACGAAGTCACGAGACGAACAAGGCTCCCGCTGCCTCCTGGGCGCGCACTCGCTCTGCCCCCCGCCCCACCCCACACACACATGCACACCACACGTACACACACGCACGGATACACACACACACACAGACACACGCACGTGTACCCACAGTTAAATACATGTACAGAGGGACTCATTTATATATATACACAGAGAGAGAGAGAGAGAGAGAGGGGCGTAACCCCGGTCGGCGTCGGGTCCCCAGGCTCTCGGCATGCGCGGCCCAGCTCTGCGCCGTCCCTGGCACCCATGCCCCTGCCAGAAAAGCAGCTGCCCCTCTCCCCACCCCCCTCCCCCCCCGTTTCCCCCCCTCCGGGGCCCGGCTCCCCCAGGCGCCGGCGATCCCCTCCCTCCGCCCCTTCCCCCCGCCAGGATTCCCTTCCCCGGGGACAGGGAGTCCTACGACGGCGCGGGCGCCAGGGGCATGTTGGTTTTGAAGCCGGGCTGCCCGTTGGCCACGTCGGCCTCGGGCTCGCAGCCGCCGCTGCTGGCGTCCCCCTCGGTCCCGGGGCTCTCGGGCTCGGCCAGGAGCTGGAAGGTGAAGAGCGAGCCCGAGTCGCGGCGGCCGCGGGGGCCCGGGGGCTCGGGCAGGCCCAGCAACGCGCCGGGCGCCTTCCACCCGGGGTAGGCGCCCAGCTCCAGGGCCGGCGGCGCCCCGCGGCCCAGGCAGCCGGGGCTGGGCGAGGCGGAGGGCAGGGTCCGCTGGCTGCCGCTCAGGCAGCTGCCGCCGTCGTCCAGCGAGTCCTTGCGCGACTGCGAGCGCTCCAGCGAGCCGGCCCGCGCCCACGGCCGGTAGGTGTAGGCGCAGCGGCCCAGGCGGCGGCGGCGGCGCCGGCGGCGCCGGGCGCGGCACTGGCAGCCCAGGATGCGCAGGAAGGCGCGCTTGAACTCCTTGCTGGAGCACGGGTAGATGATGGGGTTGAGGCAGCTGTTGAAGTAGCCCAGCCAGAACACCACCTTGAACACGGTGTCGGGGGGCTTCAGGGTGGAGAACAGGGAGCCTGCAGGGGGAGGGGTGGGGGGCACAGGCAGAGAGACAGACAGCGGTTTGTGAGTAGTCACACCCTCCACGGGCGCCACCTGGGCATCCTTCTCCACCCCCCGCTCCCCCCCCCCAGGATCCTCCCTCTGTCCCGAATGCTCGTCTTTCCGTCTCAGAAGGAATGAATGCTCCATTCACCTTTAGGGCCAATATCGAACCCCCCCATCCCCCCCTTCGCCCATGAAAGCTTTCCTGTTCTAGCTCAGCAGCACCTAAGCTCCTATAGCTCTAGATTTCCTAGGGCAATGCTCACCAGTTTCTGCTAAAATGCTACTAGTCACCCGCAATTGCACGCTCCTTTTGGGTCAGAGGCACTCCACTGGGCCTTTCACTTGTATTGTTTTATCCATCACAGAACACCATAAGTAAATGCTCATTTATTTCCATGGCAAATTTGAGAGACATTACAGACCTTCCCGTGAAAGGTAAAACATTAAAGGCAAAATATGACAATGAAAAGGAAGATCTTGTTGACCTGGGGGTGAAGGAAAATGACCCAACTCCTCAAAACGGTAAACTATAAGAAAAGGGTGGGAGAGATATTTTCAGTGCCTAATAAGACAGGTAAACGGTTGATATTTACAAGAAAAGGACAGAAATGGCATTCCCAGTAGAAACACGGACAAAGAAAATGAACAGGAAATGTACAAAATATTATAGGAAACCTGAGGGTTAATGAGCACATGACAAAGAAGCTCAAAGTATTAGGTAGTCCAATAGATTAAAATGAAAACCATAAAGAAATATAATTTATATCTGTTAGATTACACATTGCACAAAAACACTTTAGAATATAGAGTTCAAATAGAGGGGACCAGAGTTACCAGTAATAGTTTTGTTTTTATCCTCTTAGGATATTTTTTAAAGTGGAGTCATACATATACTTTTCCCCAAATTGCTTTCTTTGCTTTCTTTGCTTAGAATACATATAAGTCACTCTCCCAAGTTAGGACATAATGGTGCTACACCACTCCCACCCTTTCCTTCCTGTTAAATTACAGCCGACTGTCGGGATACTCACCCTTTCCAAATGATAGCCAAATAAGTGATTTCCAATTTTCAGCTGTTACAAACTGCAGTCAGGAAAAGCCTCTTGCATTTTGATTTCTGCACGTTTGAGTGTTTCTGTAGAATTAATTACTATTCTAGTAATCACTAGGCCAGTTCCACACTCAAGCAAAAGCACCGACAGCCAGCAGACTGCCTTCTGAACTGGTGGATGGCAGTGGTTGGCTCTCACATAGGCTGTGTGTGAGTACCAGGGGCCTGCCACCTCTGCATTAACACAACCAAATGATGATTATTTCTGTAAATCACTGTGGTGGAAACCTGCTTCCAGGAAGCCTGTGCGTGAGACCTCTGAGTGAGGACTCGATGTATCATTTGGGTAAGCTGCTTTCCCTTTCCAGGCCTCAGTGTCCCTCCTTTGGGTGAGCTGTTTGATCTGGGTTCTCTCTGGCCTTAGAGTCAGTCTGTGAGGTCTGAGATGGAAGCCCTGTCCACCCCTGTAGGGGTGTGTCAGTTTCTCTGGACTCACCACACAGGGGCAGTGTAGGTCAGGGACTGGGCCAGCTGGTGCCTGGGATTCCTTGCATATTTCCGCCCCTTTCCTCCTCCCTCTCCCCCTAGCAGCATCCTAGTACCCTGTTTGCCACACTGGCCACCCTGGTGGGAGCCAAAAAGCCTAGTTAATTGAGGAAGGTGCTGAGCCTCTTTGGCGTGAAAGAGGATAGGTGGCAGGGATCTTTTCTGCTGGGCATCCAAACAGACCTTAGGGGAGTAAATAGCAACAGGAACTGAGGGTTCCTGGAAGCCTGCTCTCTGCTGGAAGTCAGAGCTCTGCTGGCTCTGTGACAGGGCCACAAACTCACTGTGCGTCTCCCTGAGCCTGGCTCCACTTCTCTCGCTTATGACATGGTCCAGGCACCCTGCCCTGTGACTTAGAATTATGGCTTGCCAGGACTGGATAACCTTCCTTCACAGAAGCTCTATGAGGATAGATGACTTGCTCAAGGGCAGTCAGCTGGGAAATGGCAGAATGACCATCAAACCTATTTAAGTTGTTCATTTGGTTCCACAAGTGCTTATTGGAGCATTGGGGTTAGTGGCTAAGGTTCTGTTTAGAGGCCACAGGTAGGCAGAGCTGGCTTCCCAGTTGCGTGGCTTTGGAGAAGCTACGTGACCTGGTGTGGCTGTTGCCTGGAAAATAGGGAGGGCGACAGTTCTGTGCATGGATGAGATGAGCTTATTGGGCTTGGTCAGTGCCAGGCATGTTGAGAGCACCCCTGTGCAACTATTCTGACTGCTTCCAACACAACTACTATTACCACTGCCATCCCTGCCAGTATTACTGCTACAAAGATGAGGAAGGAGGCCAAGAGGTTGAGATCTCTGCTGACCATGTATTGGGACTCTTACTTCACTGCTCTTTATTTAAGAACATTTTTTTTTTAATTGATTTCAGAGAGGAAGTGAGAGGGAGAGACATAAACATCAATGATGAGAGAGAATCTTGGGTTAGCTGTTTCCTGCATGTCCCCTACTGTGGATAGAGCCCGCAACCCGGACATGTGCCCTGACCAAAAATGGAACTGTGACCTCCTGGTTCATAAGTCAACATTAAACCACTGACCCACACCAGCCACGCATGCTCTTTTCAATATAGGCCCAAGGATGGGTCCCACCTAGGTGGTTTCTTGAACCAGCTGGAATTGTATGTGACTTACACCTATTTTTCTGGGGGAGAATCCACAGCTGTCATCATGGGCTTGAAGGAATCAGCAACCCATTTTAATGGTTAGACCTCACTCACCTCAAGTCTATGGTTTTCAAGCATCAGTTATTGCCCTTGGACCACCTGTTTTTACTGTCTTTCTTTAAGTCGGGTCACTTAAAAAAAAATTAATCCTCACCTAAGGGTATTTTTCCCATTGATTTTTAGAGAGAATGGAAGGGAGAGAGAGAGAGAGGGAGCGGGACAGAGAAATATCTATCTATCTATCTATCTATCTATCTATCTATCTATCTATCTGGAGGGTAAGAGAGAAGGACACACACACACACACACACACACACACACACACACACAGTGGTTGGCTCTTGCACGTGCCCAAACTGGAGCCAAGGATTGAACCTGCAACGCTTCAATTTGCGAGCTGACACTCTAACCACTGAGCATACTGGCCAAGGCTGAGTTAGTTACTTTTGATATCTAAATTTTAAAAATACTTAAGGAAGCTTTTATCACTATTTAAAAACCTGTACTGTTTGTTATAAATAGAATGTCGTGATAGAGAAAAATGAGATCAACCAGACAGTGGTGGGTCAAAGGTCTGCTCTTCTTCAAAAAGGGAGATTAGCTAGGGTTGGAGGGTGTTGAAGACTTGCTGCCCTAAACAGAGGGAATTCCTCTTTGAGGAGCCTGAATGGTTGAAAGAGAAGTGAACCTGGAATACTGTTCTCACTGGCACATAGTAGGGGCTAAATAAGCAATTGCTCAGTGACTGACTGACTGAGTGTATAACTCACAGTCTCTTGTGCCAAATCTAGCTGTCATTTCAAGTTATTCTGCACACCACTCAACTCTACCGAACCTGAGTAGCAGTGTAGGCCCAGTCCTGGGAAACCACTAGCCAGAGGCAGCCATGGCTCCATTTCAATGCCTCCTATAGCTTCTTACTGAGGCTTTAAAAGCAGATCAAATGAGACAACACTTCTGAAAGGGCTTGGAAGGATTGGAAGCTGGACACCTGAATGGGATGAGGAGGAGGAGTTTGAGGGGGATGGATAAAGCCAAAAGCAGATGGTGTACTTGGGCTTTGCCTGCTTTAAGGCGATTTAGAGGGATTTTGAAGTTCAAGGATCAAAAGCTAAGACTGAGCAGGATTGGCACAGGGAGAAGCATTTCTTGGCTGGATGTGGTCCCAGCAAGTCATCCTTAAGGTGCCATTCATCAAATCTGAACAGGGAACACAAGGTCTCTGTGAACCTCCTCTCTTCAAAACCATGGGGCATGTTTGTAGAAGAGTAGATACCATTTAACAAGCTCACTCTGTGCCAGCCACTGGGCTAAATGGTTAATAACCGTCATTTTCCAGTTATTCCTTCAACAGTCACTGTTCCCAAGGCAGCCAGGCATGACAGTGCCTTGCTGTAGGGCAGGTGTCGGGAACCTACGGCTCCAGAGCCGCATGCGGCTCTTTTGAAGCCTTATTGTGGCTCCGCAGGGCCGATAGTAGGGCGGGGAGCTGTACCACTTACCTTTGCTGAGCTGGAACAACCAGAGTGGCTGGAAAAATTACATTTTATGGTAGACATGACAGCACATCTAAACACACTAAATACAACCCTTCAGGGGAAAGGAGGCACAGCCCTGCACATGCTGGAGGAGGTTTTGGCATTCGAGCACAAGTTGACAGTGTTTGTCAAAGATTTACAGAGAGGTACACTGTCTCACTTTCCCACTTTGAGAAAGTTCAAACAAAGTCATGATACGATAAATTCGGAATATTTGAAGTCTGCAATCACCACAATGCAAAGTTCGTTTGGGAAATGATTCTGTGAGTTCAGAGAGGAAAAAACCACATTATCCTTCCCTGTCACTCCCCTAGCGATCGATCCATCCCTGTTGAATATGACTGCATTTGCAGGTGTAAGTTAACCTGATCTTGAGATGGAACTGGCTGATATAGCTGACAAAGATATATGGGTGTCCAAGTTCAAATGCTTGACCGCTACTCTTGAGGACGTTGCCATTCTGGCTCAGAATCATAAATGGAGTGATACTGAAAACCTTCCCAAACAGGACAAACTTGTATTCGAAACATGGAATGCCATCCCCAACACTTATATAAACATGAAAAAGTATGCATTTGGAGTCCTGTCGATCTTCAGCTCCACATATGTATGTGAGCAGGTCTTCTCCAACATGAACTATATTACAAACAAACATCGGTCACG